TGTTGGATATTATTTTTTCATTTAAAAATTTTTAAAAAAACTTAATGCTACAAAAGAAAAATTTTTTTATAAAATAAATATTTATTTATTCAAATATAAACAAATATGTTTTTTACATTTCAACTTTTCAAAGTAGGGGCGGTACCCTCTCTTGCTCCTCAGGAAAATTGCCACTAACTGAAGTATAAACTAATAAATTATAGATTGTATTAAATACATATACATTTTATCGTAGTTTTCGAAATTAAAAATTTTAACATGATTTTTCCCGACTGTAAATTAATGTAGTTAGAAGTTAATGGTAGTAGGTTAGCTAAATTTACAAAGTGATTATTACTGTCATTGTCATACGTTCCAACATTTGTTGTCAAATATTATTATAATAATTAATATTTTAGATAAGATTTTGTTCAAAATAAAACTGATAAATGAATAAGTAGAATAATTATAAAAACAATTTTCAATTCCGGGATATTACTAAACAATAGTCAAAAACTAATATAAATCGATGTCCTGAGAAACTTGGTTCGGGACGCCGGGACATGGGGAATCCAGGACGAATGGCCCCTCTAATGTACCTACCTCAAGATTCTCTTTTTAATTCCCTTTTATTTATAATATTTATTTATGATTTTATCTTCTATTTTTAATAGTTCAGTAGACATTTTCTTTTTTTGTAAACGATGCCAAATTATTTTTACCTATTAAATCTCTAAATGATACCTCAAATTATAATCAAATTTAAATTAACTTGTTGAATAGATTATTTTTAATCATTTACTATTAAATATTAATAAGTTCAGCACTTTTAATTTTCGCGTTTATGCAATAAAATCACTTACAATTCTATGATTGTTAATTATTGAGTTACGGGTGTTTCTTCAGCTAGAGATCAAGAGATTCTCTCTAGTTTTAACATGGGCTTTTCAAACAACGCTTTTGTTAAAAAAAAGCTTTTAAGGAACTAGAATTTATTAATAGAAGCACGACTAATTTTAAAAATACCAATGCCTTTAAAACTCTATACTTTTCTCTCGTTTGGTCGCATCTTGAGCTTGGGTCACTATTCTTCACATATAAATCTTATTGAAAATGTTCAGTATAAATTTTTAAAACTATAAAATGTTTTAAATCAATAAATTTGTATAACTTGCAAATTACCCATTTGGAGTTTACATCTTGCGAGTCTAGGAGAAATGTTGCGGATATTATGTTAATATATTATTAAACGGTCTTATTAATTCTCCGGAACTACTATCCTTGATTGGTTTTAATATAAACAATCACTGATTTAGAAAATCTAATTAATTTGATGTTCTATTTTATGAAAACAATTATACATCCATTTGGTTTTTCTTCAGAACTCTTTCATTGACAACCCATATAACGGACCATGTTAATTTTTTTCGCGTAGGTTTTTAGACAAAATGTTTATATGGTCTTAAATTCTTTAATTTATTTTTGTTTCGTGAATTATTTAGTATACTTGTATATAGTTGTATACTAACATAATGTTAACTGTTACTTTTATTTGCTATAATTTCTGTCGCATTATTATTGTCTATATTTTAACGTTATTATACTTTTTTTTTATCTTTGTTCTTTCTATATATTATATACCTATATATTAATTAATTTAATATTATGTATCTTATTAATATTAAGCTGAAACCTGTATTTATTGCATTTTCTTACCTACTAAAGAGATTTATATGACCTGTTTATTTACTTAAAATGAAATACATTTACTTATTATAACAATGATTATAATTCTACAATATTAAAATACAAGACTAAATATATTGAAAAAGTATTTAGAACTATTGAAATAAAACAAAAAAGAAAAAGAAAATTACTTTGTCTCAAAATAAGTACCTACCAGAAAATCTTTACAGACATCTGGTAAGATTTCTGTTGAAAATAAAAAAGTTTATTTATCTAGTAGGTAATGTAATTCTATAGTCATTGATTTTTTGTAAAAACTTAGATTAGAGTAAAAAAACCACAACATCTATACTAGTTTAAATGATAAGTCCAAAATTGCTTTTTAATAGTAATATAAATCAAACTATTATGATATTATTTTAGATAAACAGTATTTTCAAACATTTTATCTAAAGTAATTTATTAAAATACAATATTATAAAAATACTGTTAATATTTATTTCTAACTATGATTCATTATTAATAATTATACTAAAAAGTAAAAGTTATTAATATTGTTATTTTATGCTTTTCATGATTTTATTTTAAGTTTGGTTATTTATTGAGTTTTTGTTTTAAATTTCTTAGATTTAATTTTGTTTTTACTTTTTTAAGTTATGAGATATTTTTTTTGATTAATGTTCAAAAAACATTTATTACTTTTAAGATAATTTAAATTTTATTAATGTTTACAATAAATTGAGTAAACAGGTTAATTTTAGTTGTATATAAATATATTCAGTTCAATACTATAATGTTTCATTGTTGTAAGCATAGTACAATACTTTAATATAAAAAACACAATAGGTACATGCTTCTTAATGATATTTTAAAAATTAACAAAACTTACAAATTAATGGATTGTTAAATGTTGGCAATCTAGTTTCCAAAAGTGTTTTAAATTTGTTTTTTAGAGATAAAAAAAACAATGTACTAGTTGTAAAATTGTTTTTTTTTTTTAAACATTATTTCTGGATAGTTAGTTTTTATTTAGAGTTTTTGCAGTTTTAAATTGAGACGTTAGAAATATAAATTTTTAAACTAAATTACACAAAATAAGTGATGCACACTTATAATTCTAGGAATTATGACTAAATTCAATTACTGCATTTGATCAAATGTCAATAATTGCTACTGTTTATATAATTTTCTCGAAGGAAAAAAAAAATAAATTTAATATATTTATATTATGTTATTTTTTATGAATGCAACTATCACTAATGCACAAATCTACAATTTAGTGTTATTTTCTTATTTTAGTTCAATTTCGACAATTTGTAATTAAAATCATAGTTGCTAAGCTTATGTTTTTCATAAATTATAGTTTATTTTTAAAGTTGCGTGGAAAAATAAGTAAACAGATAACACAATTTTCTGTATTTGTTATTCAGCCAATTTTGAATACCTAGTATTGTTTAGAAGATTAAAGTTGAATTTAACTTTATTAATTTTTAACAGTTTAAATCTTAAATTTAATATACCTAATTAAGGTACCTAATGAGTAGGAAATAATAATTATTAATATAAATAACATTATTGTAGGTATTTGTATTATAATTAATTTCAGAGTAATTTCAAAAGTATGAGATTTATAAAAATTATATTGTGTGTATTTGAATCGTACAACAATTTTGAAAAAAAATATTTGTAATAAAATATTAAACATGCGATGATCATAAAAATGATGATTTATTTAGATAAATTAGATTTCATTGAAGGTTAAGACCTGTGTGACTATGTCATAAAAGTGTAAGTAACACGACAAAAAATGCATTTGAATCATATCTAATTCATAACGAACAGTGAGGATTAAAAGTATAAATTCACATTTGTTTCGAAATATTTGTAATCATCAATGAGTTCGATAGGAAACGATTTAATAAACTAATTTAATCGGAGTGAAAAAAAAATGTATGATAACTAGGGATGAGAAGTTATAGGATTTGCATATTTTTTTCTGTATCTTCTATTTATAGCTAGGTGAGCTAAAAATCTGTTTTATAACCTAATGAATCGAAATTTGGTATTTAAATTTTGTATATTTTGCATATATAGGTAGTTTTCTTAAAAGTTGCATATTCATGTTTTTTTGTGCATAAAAATGCATATTTAGTAAAATTATGTGGAATTTAATACAACTGACATGAAAAATTTATTATTTTATAGAATTATATGTGTTCGTAGTCTGCAATAATCAATAAAATAAAAATGCAGATAGAAAATTTGAAAATTGTAGAATTGTAACATTTAATAGTAGGTAGGTATATAAAAGTAAATCTAGGATTAGTATCTGATCTAATCGTTTATTACTCAATTAGTCTGACTAGTGACAACCGTTGTTGTATAATCTAATCGTTTATAGATATATTCAATATAATATGTGAGTGTTTGACGTCTTTCCGTTATTTTAATTCAATTAGTCTATCAATATATAATCAATACACTTACCAATCATTTTTATATTGATTTTTATACTATATATTTATTTTTATATTAATTATTTTATCACTCAGTTAAAAATTATTTATATTTTAATAGAAACAAATTTCATGGAATATTATTTATATTAATTTATTTTAAACATGTTTTTATTTATGGAAAAAATTGCATATTATAATATATTTTTAAATTTTTTATGCATATATCATAATTTTTCCTTGCATATTTTGTCTATTTTAGCTCCTATAACTTCTCATCCCTAATGATAACAAAACATGCTGGCATATAGTTTTACTTTACTGGACACCGTTTTTTTAGAATTTTCTCCTTTGGATTTCATGTAGTCTTTACATTTAAACCAGTAGTAGTTCAACAAGGACTTAGCTATCGGACATGGTTTAAAAGTTATGAAAGGCTCTTCGGCACTCAGGACTCGAGCTGACCACACGGCCTCTGTAAACAATACAATCGGATCGTTGCCCGCGGCGGTCTGCGTACTCGGCCGCAACAGCGACCGCGTTATGTGTGTCCGAGCCCATAGCGATTCAAACTTCAAAGTTTGTGGACACCGGACTTCACGGATTTCGTGTTCACGCCGCAGCGTTGTCTACGATCGCGCAACTCCGCAGTCCGCACTCGTTTTCAACGTTCTCATTATCAAGTCAAGATAGATTACATTATCACAGAACATTTATTCCGTGCCATTATCAGCGATACCCAGTAAATCTTTATATCATCCACACGTATGAATACATAATATTATTGTATACTATTTATCTACGGCGGTGGTCTATGATAAGCATTGTCGTGATACCGTTCGTTGTCAACTCGTTCGACTATCGCACGTAACGCGTTGGGATAACGAGAGAGAGAGAGACGTGAATAACGGTTCAAAAAGCATTAAATCCGGTTAAGATGGAAATTTTTTCAGCAGTCACGTACGTAGTTAAGGAACAATACACACATTGGCTGGCGTAGTGGCGTGTCGCGAATCGTGTGTGAGTAATTTCAAACTGCGTGTGTTTGTTTAACAGCGTCTCCGTCTTGACTATTTGTGTCGTCTTTAATAATCGATTCTGTGCAATAAGGTCCAAGATCGGCTTTACCGTTGACGTATCCAGAAAAAGTCATGTTTGTGTATAAACACAGAGAATCTATGTGCTATAGACAATTGAAGGGCTACATTCCAAAACGCACTATTGCCATTTTTATCGAAATCGAGTTAGATATCGATTCTTATGGTAAATATGCTGAGAAATATGAATTTGGAATTGTTTTTTCGATATCACGATTATTTTTTCAGTGGTATCGATCTTAAATTCGGTATTTGTTTCAAAACGTGCTATCGCCTATATTATTAGTTTTCAAAACGTTCTATTGCCACTTTGTTCCATAACGTGCTATTGCCCATAATATAAATATAGAACTCAACTAGTTGTTACGTCAAAACGTCCCATTGCCATATATTATTCCAAAACGCGTTATTGCCAATCTCAAAGCAAAACGTACTATTTCCCATACTAATTACATAGGACATAAATTCTCTATTTTCCAAAACGCGCTATTACTTTTTGATAATTTTAACATAAAATTAATTTCGATTTTACTTTGTTTAAATAAATTTGAGTATTAAATTTGTAAATACGATTAATTCCAATTTTATGTTCATAACTTTATCAACTCGATGAAAAAAAAAAATCATTCCTAACTTCATTTGATGATAAAAAAAAAGTGTTGTTAATTTGGCTGTTTACCGCCAAAAGTTCATTGATAACGTATTATGCATAATATTGCATTAACTTATCACAAAGGATAAAAAACTGATGAAAAATAATTTATTAGTTTTTGAAATACCTTTAAATAAAGAAAAAGATTTTCAAAATGAATCGTCGCTCCAAAAAACTTGTACTTGCTGCTATAAGTGTAAGTATTTTTTCATTATTACATATTATATCTATGAATATAATAAAGTTTGTCATCAACCTATTATCATAATAAAATGTTTTGTTATTGTCAGTAACTACAGTATTTAATTATAAAAAATATTGTTATAATACATTACTAATAAAAAATTGTATATCATATTTTTTTTTGTATCTGGTTAATATTAATAACAGACAATATACTTGTATTTTTCAAACAATAAAATTTTCATAATATTTATTAAATCTAGTATAGTGCGTTTTGAATTAATAATGATTCTATGTATTACAAAATGGACTATTGCCCGACTCAGTCCAAAACGTACTATGTGTTGGCAATAGTTCGTTTTGACACAAGAGATAAATTTAAAACCTTAATTAATTAACTTAAAACTTGATAAACATGAATTTTGACAATTCAAAGCTATTTCTTTTCTTATAATATATTGATAAAAATCATCAATGTAAACTCATACATAGAATTTATACCAAAAACAGTTTTTCTTCTTTCCTGAAAAGTTTGAATTTTGGCAATAGTGCGTTTTGAAATGTCGCCCTTCAATTGCAAAGCATCATGTCCACCACGTCCGTGTGGAGAACTCATTAACAAATTGGTGGGTTCTTGTACCTAAATATTTGATATTCTAATGACAATCAAGGGTTATACTGTCTCAGTGCCCCACTATTCCTAATTACTAGTAATGTTTTGTCCGTTTGTATTTTTTCATGATAGGAAGTCATCTAAAAAAAGAACGGAACATGTGTGATTCGCAATAAGGGATTATTCTGGGCATTTACACTTCATAGACTTTCAAGAAATGCTGTATCTATGTTTTCTACACCTTGTGTAGATATATTGTTGGGTATGAATTCAGTGGCCTTAAATCCCAGATAGTTGTAAATTACATGAATGTTTGTTCAACAAAAAATGTTTATTCAACGATCTACATTATCTGAAGTACAGTCCACAGCGTAACTGTTATATTATTAAAGTGAATCATTGTAATCAGTGATGCCGAACACATACATGAACTGAAGCGATCGCTTCATGTAATAATGAGGATGAGTGGTTTTATTTGTATATATGTTTTTGTTTTTACATTACATAATACCTATACTAAATTATTAAATACATAACTAAAGTTATTAGTTATTTATAGAGGTAGATAACATCCTCAGTGGTAGGTGAGTGTGTAAATATTTTGATTTTGCTTCACTTAAATCTATATGACTCGGCGTCACTGGCTATAACATAATATTTATACCTACCCAAAATTGACACTAATGTAAATGTTTTTAATGTTTAGAAATGCAAGCAAATTAACATTTAAAATTATATGCATTTTATTTATAAATTATGTGATGGTAAAATATAAACAAAAAACTATGGCAATTGTAAAAGGGCTGAGGATACTTGTAGCTACATTATACCTGTGAATAGTAATTTATCTAGTGTTTCACATAATATAATGATGGTAATATAAATAAAAAATACATTATAATAATATAATAATCAATATTATTTTTTCATACTATTTTTTAGGAAAAAAAAATTTTTAAGGATGATGTTTAGAGTTTGAAAGAAAAACATAAAGTTTTAGAGTAATAATTTATTTAGTAAAAGACTATTTAACAACATTGGCTACCATTTGGCAAAATCCAAATCCTCAAAAATGTAAGATTTAAATATGACATGAAATTAATTTTACAATATTAATTATTTTCTTATTAATATTTTAGGTTGGTGTCCAGATAAAATTATAAAATTATTACTTACCCTCAATAAGTATATGTTTATTCAGTCATCCTTGAATTAATACATAAGCAGGCGATAAACAAACTTAATATTTAGGTAGTATAAAATATTAAGTACTAATTTTGTTAAACTTAATGGTTTTTAATTAAAATAAAAAAAAATATACGTTATATTTGAAAATAGGCTAACTACCTAAAGCAAAACATTTAAACATTTAAAAGTCAGTATTTTTATTTTAGTAAATAAATTATATATATATTTATTAAAAATAACTAACTCTACTTTAGTATTTCCTTTCAACTCAGTTCAATTCTTGTTTTTATAAAAAAAATTGTGATTTAACTTTAAATTAATATTGAATAATCATTTTCCTATATTTAAATTAAGTAAACAATATAATATTGACAATTTTTTTTTTTTTTTATTGTATACGTAAACTTAATTGAATTTTTTTTGTTGTATAAAATTATAAATTATAAAGAATTAGATAAATATATTTTGTGTAGAATAATGCTATTCTTGAGAAACATTTATTATTTGAAGGAGATAATATATTATTTAATCAATAGCCTTTAGATCAAGTATAATGTATCAATGTACAAACTAATAATAATATTTTCTTCAATATAGTTTAAACTATTTGTTTATATTTTAAACTGAATTTTAAATATTTATTTTTAGATTTAAAAAATGAGCATGTGCTCTTCGTTATAGTGAACATTCACAATAACTTATTTTTACCAAAAACTGGAGAAACTATAGCTGAAGCTGCTTTGTTAATGCTTGTTGTAAAAATCTATGTATTGGTTAATTATTTATATTGTTATTAATTCATATTTTTTTTTACTGTGGAACAAATAAAGTTTAGTCATACCAAAATTTGGTAACATCTCCATTACTATTACTCAAAGCTATTACAGGAACATATTTATTAACACACAAATATTCATTACAAAGGGATTCTAGTCTGATTTAATTGGTTGATTTATGTTTGGTGATGATATCGATATTCATTTAAAACTTCTATGTCCCATTATTCTAAAGATTTATTACATTTATTATTCGTTCAATATTAAAACATTTATTGTGTATAACCATTTATATTTGATCAATAAAATGTATTTATTTTATCAAAAAGAAATGCATCATCACCGTCTCTATTTGAGAAATACAAAATGACTGAAACATCAACCTGATTGCAACATGGACAAAAAATAATTAGAGGTGAATATTTTAAAATAACTGTATTCAATATTTTGTTAGTTAAGCTTATTTATCAGTTATCACAGCTTCATTTGATCAATGGAATTTTAATAATGACTTTATTATTAACCCTTTCACTGCTGAAGACTAAAATTGAATGTAACTGTCCTGTGCTGACCAAATTTCATAAATTATTTTAATTGTTTTATCACCTAATATAGATAGATTTATACATCCTGAATTTAAAAAAAAACTTAGCAAGTTATAGATGGTTTTCTTATTCATGACTGGTGGTTCTCAAAATGTGCAAGAGATGTAATGATACGGTGATTGAATAATATTATGTATAAATAACATTCGACAAAATTTAATGACTGAAAAAAATACAAAAAAAAAAAATATAAATATATTTTTAACTTAAAACATAATTTTTATTTTACATAATATAATTTCTTTTGTTTTGACATGTGTCACTAATATATTATTATTATATCTTAAAACGTTTGTTGTGTATGACACACTTTGAAACGTAGTACAACACATAAACCTACATTGCACTCATTGCATTGGTATAAGGTATCTGTTCTTTTTTTCCCCACAGTTTTATGACTGCAAACAAAGCATTTTCTTCTTTGTTTTTTAGTTGATGTTTGGGGGATTAAGTCTGGAAAATGTCTTTCAATTAAACAGCTGTCTAATATAATACTTTTTTTCCCTTTACTTGGAATTGTTTTGAAATGTGTTTTGTATTTTTGTAATATTTCATTCACCAAAGTTAGTTGAAAGTCTGCTACTGAAATATGCTTACCTGTAACAGTTTTATATGCTGAATATGCATTTAGCAAACTCATATCAATAACATGAAAAAATAGTTTTTTGTACCATTTTAATGTACACCTAACACATTTGGTATAACTTAACAACATGTCTATCTTATCTATTGCTCCCATATTTTTGTTATAACTAACTACACTTTGTGGCTTGAGATATTTTTTTCCTGTTTTCCTATCTATCTTTTTTGTGTCTACCATTTCATTTGTATTCATAAATGTTAACATATATACATCACAACAGTCCTTCCAATAAATTGCTAAAAGTTTGTCAGTGCACCGAGTTTCTCGTTCACCTAATTTTAGTTTTCCTTCAATAATTGGCATGAGTTTTCTATTTTTTCTCACAGTACCGCATGTATTAGTTTTTCTTTTATGTAAATACATGGATAATTGTGGTGAGGTATAAAAATTGTCAGTGAATAATGAATAACCTTTGTTTAAGTATGGCTTCATGAGATCTTTAACTATTACACCAGATTTTCCAAGTATGTCTTCTAATGGGTCTTTGTATTCAGTAGCTCCTGTATACATAATAAAGTTTAGAATGAAATCAGTCTCATAGTCACATATAATATAAAGCTTGATACCAAATCTATGCCTTTTACTTTTGATA